TCCAGGCTTGACAAAGGTGACTTGCTTTGGTCAATGGGACATTAGCAAATGTGATGCAAGCAGAGGCTTGGTAGGTGCACGTGATGTGGGGTTGGTCCTCCATTACTGGTGAGCCCCCCATGGGAAGAAGCCTGTGGCCACCCTCCTAGAGGAGGGGAAACCACATGGAGAAAAACCTGGCTATCCCTGATGCCCAGCCTTCCCAGCCCAGACAGCAGACATGTGATCAAGGCCATCCAACACCACCCAGCCCAGCTGAGCAAGCCCAGGTCAGAAAAGCCACCTAACCAGCCAGCAAAATCATAAGCACTAAACCACTACACAGCAGATGCTCTGGGATTCAGCAGAAGCTGACTGATTCTCCGGGATCCCCACTGCCACAGCCTCTGCTTGTCATGTCCAAGGGGCCATGACATGTCAGAGTCCCTATCTTTGTGACCTCCCTGGACCATCATTGTTCCAGGGCCCTGGCTTGCTTTGCCAGCTCTCCCACCCCAGCCTCACCACAAGACTGGAACCTTCTCAAGGAACTTCAGTCCTACACTTAAGACCATAGTATGACAACTCTAGATGGTTTAAAAAGCACTTTCATCTGGGCATGGTGATACATACCTACAATCCCAGCACTAGGAAAGTGGAGGCATGTAAATTGTGAGTTTGAGACCAACCTGGGCTACACAGGCCAGGCTGGATTACATAGAGGGACCCTGCCTCCAAAAGCAAAACAAAAAAGCAGTATTTTCACATACATCACCTTCAGCCCCGCTCCATCACAACTCTGGAAGATAGGTATCCCCACTTCTCAGAAGAAATAACTGAAGCCCAGAGAGGTTGACAGACATGTACCAAAGCACTAAAGTCACATGTACTTTACTACACATGTGTACTAAAGTCACACAGCTAGTCAACTCCAAACCCTATGCTCTTTCTTCTTCATCTCGTGTTGACTCATTCACGCACTGCCTTCACATGCCTCCAGGCAGGCAGATGTCCCCACTAGTAACAACACTCTTGGATTTCTGAATGTCACCTGCCTTGCATTCCTCACCTTGGCCGTGTCAGCCCTCCCAGATGGCAGCTATCTGCCCAAGGCTGCCACCTGCTGTCTGTAGCCAACCCCTGGATTTATAATGTGCCTGCCACACATGACTTCCCTCCTCTATGGGTTTGTCCCACCAGTTCAGGCCCTGCCCCTGCCTGGTTCCAGATCTGTGGTCCCTCCCACACTATCTACCATATCCCCAAAGAGAACAGTCAAGCCCAGCTCCACAGGACAAGAGCAGGAGGTGGGGTACTAACTACCATGTACAGTTTAACCTGACATCAATCCTGTGGGTTTCTGGGCTATTTCTTCAGGAGAACCAAGTTTTTACAGCGGGATCTTTGATCAAGTGTTTTGTCTAGTAGGTTATGGTTACATAATCATTAAAAAGAGGAAGTATCCCATTGTCCCAAGCAAGCCCAGACGAAAGAGTGGAGAGAGAGATTTTTTCTGTGTGTGTGGTACTGGGGTTTGAACTCAGGGCCTCATGCTTGCTAGGCACTTGAGTCACTCCATCAGCCTTTCCTTTTTTTTTTTTTTTTTAACTGAGCTCAGACAGGCCTTTGTATAGATTTGCCTTCCCATTCCTTTCACAAGGGAAGGAAGAAGTCACTGGATGCCCTTAACCCATTGGCCTGCTACAGATGGTCCCAGAGTTAAAGAAATGCCTACATGACCTTCTGTGAAGCTCTAGGCATCTGGAGCCATACCAGGCATTTCTTGGGATCAAAGTCTGACTAGCTTATGTCCAAAGCCATTTTCTAGAGAGGAGAGTTTGCTTACCATCTGATACAGCACATTGGTAACTTGTTGACTGGCCTGAACTGTGAGGACCCACGATTGGGGCATTGTAGGACCAGGGACAGGAAGACAGACAGGTGTCATCAGAAGTATAAACCACCAACAGCTCTTTGCCGTAACCTTAGTGTTAAGCCTGACGCATGGCAGGTGTGTAATAAGCAACTGTAGAACAGGTGAGTGGAAGAGTGAATGAATGAATGAATGGGCGGGTGGCAGAGTCAGTAATCCCATCACTTGGCTTTGTCAAGTGGATTGGACAAAGCCACCAAGGAAGAATGCTACTGAGGGCTCGTGCTGTTGGCTGGACATCACCTAACACTGAGCTTTTACTCTGTCTTTCTTCAGAGCCAGAGCTGTCGGGATCTGGAGATGATGTGGCCTAATGCATCCAGCTCTGAACTCAGCCTTGGAAGGTTACAGATATGGAGGTTCAAATATCCACATAGTCAGCAATTCCTTTGCCAAGTGTCCACCTAGAGGAACTCTCCCACACATGCAGAAGCAGATGGGTACGGGACTGTTCACTGCAGCACCATCCTTAATAGAGGAAAGTCAGCAGTCTCAATCCTGCCTCTCAGTAAACGTGAGAATACCACACCGTTCAAATGACTCTCTCCATTCATGTCTGTTCTTAGGCCAACAACTGTGCTACCGGCATGAGCTAGAAATCACAAAAACAAAAGCAGCTTACACCATCACTCCATTTATGTAAGGTTTAAAGACCCATGTCACAAGGGCATCTGGTTTGTGGATAAACACATATATGTAGGCAAAAACAGCAAACACTCAGGAGAATGACGTCATCAATCTCTGGCCAGTGTCCACCCTTGGGGAGGGAAAGTCGTGGAACTGAGGAAAAAGGAGTTAACTGTATCATGCTTTTTATTTCTTCAGAGGAAAAATCAAGAGTCAAAGCAAGTGCAGCCAGTATTAACAACTTGGCGATGGACGCTCAGGGAGTTATGATATTACTTTCCTTTTGTGATCTTTTGTATTTATTCACTTAACAAATATTCAGTGAACCTCTACTATATGCCAGACACTGCTTTAGGATCTGGTATGGTGACACAGTGATGAACCAAACAAGTATTCCTGCCTTCGGTGACCTTACACTCTGAACATTTGAAACGTGCATAATTCCGTGCTTTTATTTATTTATTTATTTATTTATTTAGAGATGGGTCTCGTTATGTTGCCCAGGCTGACCTCAAACTCTTAGGCTCAAGTGGTCTTCCTGCCTAAGCCTCGTGTAAGTTGCTAGGACTACAGATACATGCCGCTACGCCAACTGCTTGCTTTTAATTTTAGTAAATAAGTACAATCTTCAACCATTGAAGGCAATCAAAAGTTAAAAAGAAATCTGCATTTTTTTCCTGTCTCTTCTATCAGCTCAGTTTTCTCTTCCCCAGAATTTCTATTATGAACCCTCTAGGACTTTCCATTGTCTGCTCTAAACACCTTCCCCAAGCCTTCAACCATTCCACAGGTGATAACGTCCCTGGGATACAGTGTTCCCTGTTGAAGCTCTCTCCCTCCACAGGACCTAATTCTGCTCCACACTCACCAGACTAGCCACAGCCAACCTGTGACAGAGTCCCTGCCCCAGCCCTGCAGAAAACCTACCACCTAGCTATACTTGCATCTTCCTCATCACCATATCACCACTGTCACTGCCGGCTTCCTGTCACTCTCCCCACCATTCACTGAAAACCCTGGGGACAGTCTCAGTCTTCTCCCCATGCCAATGCCTACCATGGCCTCAGATTTTGAGGCCCACGCAGCCAAGCCCACCCACAGTGTAGTCTTCCATTCCTGCACCTCATTAATACCCATGACTTACTATCCACAGCACCCACACCCTACATGGCGAAGTCATCTCCCAGAACTGTCCCAGAAATCTACTTCCTGGCTCCTTCTCTCTGACCCTGCCTGGCCTTCTCTTCCATCTGTACACTCCCTGCCACCCCATGAACAGCCTGCAACCTCAAAGCAGTCCCAGATCTTCACCCCCATTCTCTTGCTGCCGCTCTGCCTCCTCCTAGCCTGGGCCTCCAAGGTGATGCTCTAAGTCATTCTCCAGGGTCCCTCCATGGCTCTTCCAACATCTGGCAGGCCAGCACACACTCTGGACCAAAGCCATCCGCTTCTTTCTCTTTGTCTCTAGATTAAGTCACCCTTGCCCTGGTAAATCAGCACCTGCCATGGACAGTTCAGGTCCTTGTTCATGCAATTCAATGTCCCTTCCAGTTACCAGTCAACTTTCACCTTTGATTCCCCCCACTCAGCCCCTGACCCCAAAACTCCAGGAGACTGCCCTGCCTTCACCAAGAAATCGCAGCCAGTACTGCCTGCAGCCCAGTCCCTTCCTTCCTTTCCCTCCCTTCTCATGCTCATTATCTCAGCTGAAGGCAGCACCAGTCTCACTTCTTTGGAGTAGAACCCCAGGGGCCCTGCTATGCCCCCTCACCACCTCAAACGCCAAGTTCCACCAGTTTACCTCAAGCTCCAGATGGCTCTTGGCAGCCCTAATTCAAACCACCATATGGCTCCCAGCTGGTCTCTGCTGATATGACCCTCCATGACCTGCCACCATCTCCACTTTCTCTGTCTCACACCTTTGGCTTCAGCTTCACGCCAACGCTTAGGCCCTGCACACTTCCAACTCCCCACCTTACTATTTCTTCATAGCCCAGGAAGCCCACCCTCCTCTGCATCCTCCACACTCAGCCAAGTGTGCTTCCTCCAGGAAGCCCCTCCACCCCCCAGTCCCACCAGCCAGGCTGAGTTAGGCACCTGTCGTCTACCTCCTGAAACAAGTAATGCATGTCTCTAGCACAATCAGTACCAAAGTGTGTTGTCATTTCTTCTTTTATAGAGATGGTCTCCCACCTGATACACCTCCCAATTGCCAAAAGGCAGAAACATAGGCAGGACAAACTCTGGGAATTCCAATGTACAAGCATGCTTCCATTACTATCAGACTCTCTATGAGTTGGCAGCCACCAAACATTCATTCCACACTCACCAGCCAGGTGCAGGGGTAGCTCAGGTGCATTACCTGGGCACGATGCTCTTCCACACACCACTTCTGGGGCTTCTTATATCACATGTCCCATTCCCAGGGCCCCCAAGGCACAACCCTCCCTGAGCACTATACCTTGGCCAGGGATCTGACTATGGGACTTTCCATAATGCCTCGAAGGAAGATCAGGTCCAGCTCTGCAGCCCCCGTGGCATTGGGGAGGGATCCCAGGTTGTCCAGGACTTGCTGCATGGCTGGGGGGAAGGGGTGGGCAGTGAGACACTTGGGTACCATTGGAGACAGAAGATCACAACCCCCACCTATGGGTTCCCTTCCACCCTCCCCAGCAGCACTTCCCTCCCTCCCCACACAGACACCCAAGGCCCTTGTTTGCCTAGGGCAGTGGCCCTAGGGCAGAGGTCAGTTTCCTTAGCTAATACCAGCCTGGGCAGGTAGGAGACTCCAGGCCATAGGAAGTAGACTCTGGGGCCAGGGACAGGTGTCAGGTTCCAGATTCTGCCCAGCACCAGAGAACCACAGGCTCCCCTCTCAACCTCTAGATGGGCTGAAGCCTAGGGACTCACTCAGTCACCTGTACCCCACAGGCTCAGGGATGACCATCTTGGAGTATGTCCCTGGGTGGAGGCCAGCAGGGAGTCAAGCAGGCAGCAACACTGGAAGTGGCTAACTCAGTGTGACATTGCACAAGTCACTGTCCCTCACTAGCCCAGTCAGACTTTCAGTTCTGACGGATAATGATCTATCATCACTTAGAAATTAACATGAATGACAGGAAGTCAAAAGTCAGGCATGAAATACTGGTGAGAGCTGCGGAAACAGGCACCCTGGGGCCTGAGCTGGCTGTGGGCACCTAAGGGCAGAGATCAGACCAAGTCATCCCATGGATGGGCAAACTTGCAGCTTAGGAAGAGACATAACCAAGGCCGTGAGTACACCTCATGGTGATGTGAGATGGGGGCTGCCTTCACCCGCAAGCAGAGGAGGAAGCTCCAGGGCTGTGGCAGGTTGCAGAAGGAACTGAGAAGCAGAGTGTGCCCAGCTGGGGGCAGAGATGGGCAGGGGGCATCATTACTCTGCCACTCTGCCACCCACGTCCACATCTGTGCAACAGCACCGAATCACACAGGAAGGGCAGATGTGTGCTCCCTAGCACCTCTCTGTGCGCCCCTCCTCCAGGAAGGAGTAGGGGTGGGCATAAGAGGCACCAAAACTGGAGCTGGCAAAGAGGGTTCAGGGACTCCTGGGCTCCCATCCCCTACCCGCTCCTCCTCCCTGCCTTCTCCAGAAACAACATCCCAGCCTGACTTCCAGGCGTCAGAGACCTGCAAGGTCCTCCGTGGACTCTGAAAGATTCCAGGGCAGGGATCCATCTACCCTTCCTAGTCGTGTTCACAGACTCTCCAGTCAGGGGTGGTGGAGCCCTGGGCACCCTCCCCAGTCATCCCTGGGCACAGGTCAAATCTCCTGGCCAGGATCCCTACGAACCTTTCAAGCTCCGAGAACATGGCTCGGAGGGGCATCCTTTCCAAGTGCCCCAAACCCAGCTGCAGGAGAGTCGGTTAAGGGGCGAAGCACCCCTCCCGCAGCCTCCCCGTCCCACTTCTCCCTACCTTCCCTCCGGAGTTCCGCTTCCTCAGAGGAGCCTAGGGAAATCCCCTCTAAGGAGGGCCCGCTGCCTGGGCTGCCAGCCATGGCCACCCGGGCCCCGGGTTCCCCGAGTAGCCTGCGCGCGCGGTCCACCGCCTTCCCAGCCAAACCCAAGCAGTGCTGGAGAAGGCGGGACTCGGAGAGAGCGCTGCACGATCAGCCAATAGCAAGGCCCCGCCTACCCGACCGTCTTGCTGATTGGCCAAAGCCCCGCCACAAAGCTGCTTGTGGGGAGGGGGGCGGTAACTGGTGGGAGGAGGGCAGTGGCAAAAAAGAGTCATCCTAAGGATGGCCTGATCCCCATCATTTAGTGCCAGGTAGGGAGGCGGCGGCTAAAGGAATGCTTGGGAGTGGGGATAAGCCCCTTTGGACTGGGGTGGTGCCCAGGACCCTCCCCTATCAGCTAATGAAAGAAACCCAGGGGCGTGGGTTGGGGGTGCGGGGAGGCTTGGCCCCAACGTGTTCCTGTACCCTTCTTTTCTGGAAGTCTCTTCTCTACTACACCCCATGCCATCCCCTCCCCTGGCTCTCTGACCTCTGTTCTCGGCCCCCGCCCCCGCGCCAAGCCCTGTTTATAATGATCTCCTCGATCAAAGGATGCCCCCAAGAACAACTCTAGGTCTTCCACCGACGACGTAGTGACACCTCTATGGCATGAGGCAAACACCAGAACCACAAATGCCTCCCACTACGGTGGCCAGCCAGCCAGCCAGCCAGCCACTCTGGGGGCGGGAATGTGGAGGGAGGGTGGTACCCATGGGGCATGGAAGGCCCCAGCCCGCTGAACCCACATCAGCAGCATTTTATTCCCTTCCCCTTCCCCTCCCCATCTCCCATAAACTCTGCCCTTTGGTGAAAGGTGATGCCCAGGAGGCAAGTCAGGCACCTTGGAACTGAGGGAGGGAAAAAGTGAGGGCACCTTCTATAAAGCAGGAATAAGGGCGGGCAGGAAGGAGGAACTTGGCAGTTGCCCCAACCCTATGCCCCATTCTTCTAAACCCCAGTACCCAAAGGCCACCACCTGAGGGCTGCTGCAACCACCAGTCAGCCATTCTCTAAGGAGTGGAGTGGTACCAGGTCGCCCGGCACCCCTAGTTGCCATGGCAGCAAGCAGAATTATACACCAGGACAGTAACTCAGGGATACAAGAGAAATTTAAAGGGACAGCTCCATCTGAAAGAAGCCCCACATCCCTGCCTTGATTCAAAAAAAAAAAGGAAACAAGAGTCTAGTGAAAAGGGAAGAGAGAGGGGACCTGCAGGTCAAGATCTCTAAACACTCAGCCTATGCTGTCACCCACATATCTCCCAACCTCCCCCCGACCCTTACTCAAGTAGAGATGGGGTCTCTGCAAGAGGAACACATTCATGCTTCTTCCCCCTCCAAAATGACAACCACCATATTGATCTGTGGAGAAGGGTAGGACCTTCATCTGCAGAGGCCAAGGTAGCCAAGTCCCAGAAAAGGAAAAGGGGGGACCTGACCTACAATAGGCACACAGCTGTCTATCAGTCCCGTGAGAAGTGTAATGATCACCAGATGACAAGGATCCTTTGAGTTTTGAGACTAGGAGCTAAGATATTTGCAGAGGGCTGGCTCAGAGAAAGGAAGCACTTTATACTTCTTCCTTTCCATATGGGAAGTTAGAAGCAGCCCATAGCTGAACACCCAGGGAAGCAGAGGCCCCAGGAGTCCTTTGAGAAGATGGTCCTACCCCCACACCTCTGGGCTCCACTCCTTGTTCCTCATCCCCACTGTGTCCCCATCAAGTGGCCTGAAGTTCAGAAGCCAAATTGCTGAACCTGCTCCTCCCTCTACACCCCTGCTGAGCACTATTAATGGGTTTACAGGGCAGCCCCAGATGAGGAACCTTTAATCACAGGCTCAGGGATGGGTTTAATTAACCTCTAAGCAGCTTATCGGTGAGGCCCAGGCAGAGAGGAGCAGGGAGAGAGCCCAGGGGGCCCAGCAGACCGGACAGCAGATGGAGGCACTGAATCCTCCAAGGCTTCAGAAGCTGGGGAACACTGTACAGTCCCTCCACCCTTCCTGGGGCACCAGGGTGTCCCAGCAGAGGGTGTTACAGCAGCCTTTGCTTTCTCAGAGGGTGGGAACAGAGCCATTCTCACAGAAGTGGGTGCCTGTCACAGCCTGCTGAGGGAGGACAGCCCTAGAGACATCCAAGCAGGGAAAAATCCAGCCACTCAGAGTAGTTTGAGGCTCTGCTAGGCCCTTAGAGAGCCTCTAGACAGGGAACTTAACCCGGGGGCCCCCCAAAAGCACTCAAGGGGGTCCATAAACCCCTGGAGTGAAATGCAGACATGTCTACGATGAGAGCCCATTGTTGTCATCAGACTCAACTTGTAGGGATCACTACAAGTTAAGAACACTGACCTTGTCCTGTCACCTCATCTTAAAGAAAAGAGGTCATCCAAGGGAGGCCTCAAGGCCATGGGGTCGATGCCATGACAACAATGCAGCAACAGGAGTACAGCTGTGAACAATTCGTCCCTGTAATGTGCTCTCTCTGTCATCGTTTCCAAGGCTGACAGCTCATACCAATCTCTTTACAGAAGAGGAAACACAGGCTCCAGGAGGCTTGCCACCAGCTCCTGGGCTTCCTCAGCTTGTCTGAGTGGCCCACCCCTTACCCAAAAACATTCCCCTGCCTGGAATTCTCACCCCTCCACTCACATCTACCCCATTATATGCTGGTCTAGAACATAGACCAGCTGAGCTGCAGGATAGGCTTCTCAGTCCTAGACTGTGCTGCTATGGTCCATGCACCCCCACACCCCCTCCAGGGGACACTTCTCTAACCAGACAGACCTCTCCCACACACCCACCCCATGGCCATCCAGAAATAGAACAGAATGTCCATGGAGCAGACACCCCTGTCATCTGTGCATGTGGGTGAGTGGTGCTATGTCTGTGCCTACCCTGGGACAGGCATAGGTCTTAGTCCTCCTCCCCTCTGTCCCAGCACAGGGACCCACAGAGAGGAGATGGCCTAAATGAATAGTTGAGTGGTTGGGTGAAGCAGTGGTGGGGTGAGCTGAGGGGGTGCTGATCCCATCCCCAAGTGACACCCTTTGAACCATTGAAATAAGCTGACAGGCTCACCCCCTTCTTACCAGACTCAGAGTTGGTGGCGGCAACTGGCATGGCGATGTCAGCAAGGGCTCTGAAATGTCTCTCCTAGAGGGGAGAGAGGAAGGATGACAGGGGATCAGAGCAGAGCCCAGGACACAAGGAACTAGGAAGTCTCCCCTTCAGGAAGGGTCACACAGTAGGAAAGGGCACTGCTCACAAACTGAGGGTTGGATAACAACTGATCCCAAGGATTCTGGGAGGCAGGAATACCAGATTACATGCCCCTTCTCTGAGAAGGAACCAGGAAGGATTAGAAGGTTGATCAATTTTCTCAAGGTCACAAAGCTAACTGGAAGATTTACAATGAAAAACCAGTTTTTATGACTCTTAAAAAAAATAGTGTTCCTAGCTGTTCATGGTGGGGCACACCTGTAGTCCCAGCTACTCAGGAGGCCAAGGTGGGAGGGTTGCTTGACCAGCCTGTCAACAGTGCAAGAGCTGATCTCAAAAACAAACTAGTTTTCTGCCTGCCATGTACCTTTATGTTTTCTTTTCTTTTCTTTTTTTTTTTTTTTTTTTTTTTTTGCGGTACTGGGGCTTGAACTCAGGGTCTACACCTTGAGCCATTCCACCAGCCCTTTTTTTGTGATGGGTATTTTCAAGATAGAGTCTCAAAAACTGTTTGCTTGGGGTGGCTTCTAACAGTGATCCTCCCAATCTCTGCCTCCTGAGTCACTAGGATTACAGGCGTGAGCCACTGGCACCCAGCTTTTTTTTTTTTTTTAAACCACCTCTATCCTATTTGCCTCTATGACCCAGGCCTAATGCTGGATGTAGGCGCATCATATATATTTGTGTCTGACAGAAATGATATCCTACTCCCCAAGTCCTCTGGCTTCTCTCTCCCCTCTGCCCTTTCTAGCCAAGACCTGGGACAAGAGGAACTTGGTTCTATCTCAGATCCCAGTCCTAAGCATGTCTACAGTCACAGTGCCCATCCCAGGGCCTCCTCAGGCTGGGATTGGCTCCCTCATTCTCCTGGGAGGGGTGCCAGGGTTACCCACCACCCTTCCTCCCCTTGCCTTCCTGGGCATGTGCTGCTGGAAAAAACCCTAATTCCCCAGTTGCCATGACAACAGGAGGCAGTGGCTAACAGCAGGGGTGGGGAAGTGGAGGGATGCAGCTGGCAGTGCCCACTTTAGGACTGAATGCCTGGGTGGCAGGGGGAATAGGAGGCCATGGCCACTTCACCTCCTTCCCCAAAGAGAATTCTTCTCAGAAGAACCACTACCTAATTTCAATAAAACCCTCTCTACTCCATTCCTTTGCCAGGCCTGAGCAGGTCACCCGAGCCCTGGTGGCAGAAATGACAAGGGTGAGGAGGATACCATCCCTTTCTCCTGGACCTGCTCCTAAGAATGAGGAGGAAAGGCACCCCTCTCATACTAGCATCCAGCCTAGAAGAAATATTCAGGATCCACTGTGCCAGCCAGTGCCCTGGAGCCAGTTCCAACTGTCCCTATTCCTAGAGAGCAGGGGCCCCTCCGTGGTAGAGGTACGGGCAGGTCAGAGGGGCCACCCCAGGAGTCCACCTTCCCTGGAGCATAGAGGTGAGAAGAAGCAAGGAAGATCCTATATGGAACCCCTATGCCTAGGAAACTTGCGCAGCCTGCCTGGTTTTCTCCCTGGGGAGCCGCTTCCCACGGCGTCGGCTTGCTCTGCCCCACCCCCATCCAAGCCTCTGAGAGGGCGGAGCCGGCTGTGCCCACAGGAGAACGGCAGTGCCAGGCAAGACAGCCTGGTCCAGTGCCAAGGTCCGGGGCTCAGGCATCAGGGAACCTGCACCTCAGCTTCCAAAAGCTGGAGCCCAGGCGCCCTCTCACTCCTACCCCGAAAGCTATCCACATCTCCCAGAGTGGCGGTAGTTGAGGCAGGCCAGCCAGAAAGGGAAGCTTTCCTCCAACCTCCCACCCACCTCTCCATGCACATATGAAGAGGTGTGTATGGACGGAGGGAGGTCTGACAAAGAGCTTTGGAAACCAACAGGTCGTGGGGAGAGCTGGACAGAGCTAAGGGCCAGAGGATGGGGCGGACGTGCCCGCACTCACAATCAGATCGCCCCCGCCCCACAAGTCCAAGCCTAACCCGCTGGACGCTAGGACCTGGGGGAAGGGGGGTGTGTTGCGCGCCATCAAAGAAGGCTCTTTGCTCGCGGACCCGCGGGAGACCAGGGGATGAGGTCACTGAATGACTGCCACCCCCGTCCCAGTCCTCATTCCATGCCACCCCTTTAACTGACCTAACTTTCTGACCCTGGATCCTCTCCAAAGTCCCCAAGCCTTAACCCTGGCCCCCGAGCCCGAACCGCCCTCCCCCTCCAGCCTCGGAGGCGAGGAAAGCTGTCCGTTCCCAGGACCCCCCTTCCAGAGAAGGTTAAGATGTTGGCCTCTTGAGGGGCAGGGTGCCAAGCCAACCCCTCCAGGCCTCAATCCTAGCTCCCCCTCCGCCGGAAGCGCTAACAGCGCGGTTCTTACGTAATGCCGGGATTCGAAGTCCCCCCCCCAACCCGCACAACCCCCGGAGAGGCCGCGCGGATACCTGGACTCTGCACAGCTCACCACCTCTGTGCCCGATGTCACTTTGGAGCCCCCACCACAGAGGCGGAGGCCAGCGTCTAGGGACAGCTGCATTTGGTTCTCCCTAGCGGCATCTCTGAAAGAGGGGCTGGGGACCGGGGTTGGAGAGGGAGGGAACACGCCTGGAGGAAGGGTCCTGGAGTTTGGACCCAGAGAATAGGGCCCCAGGTAAGTGTCATGCCAGGACGAAAAAGAGGCAGAGGTCCTGGAGTGGGTGCTGGCCCGAGGGCCTGGAGACACCTACCTGCTCCTCTGGGAGCCTCTGGCTCGCGGCGACTCCAGCACAGCCCGGCGCTCGGCGTTTATTGCTTGTCAATCGCTAGCCCGGCTCTTAAAGCGGCAAGGCCTCCTCGGCGCGAGGGGCGGAGACAGAAAGGGGAGGGGAGGGGAGGGGAGGGGAGGGGGACACGGACTCCGCCGGACAACTCCGGAAAGTAAGCTCCCAGCAGTTAGTGGGTGGGCGGGGAGGTGTTGGGTAGGAAGCAGCCCATAACCCTCGACGCCCCGTCGGAGAAGCACTGACTGGAACCGTACCCAAAAGTGTCCCTTGACGCCCAGTAATCCTTTAAAAGGATTGATCGTGGGGAGAAAAAAAAAAGCAGTCTAATGGGACCACCCTGTTAATGTGACCGCTCAGACCTGCGTTCCAGTTCCAGGCAATACTCACCTTCCCTCGTTATTTTGCTTCACAATTTGGAAGAGGAATAGGAGGACTTTCAGATACCAACCTCCTTAGGGCCTCGGGCCCAGGGCCGCGTTTAAGAACCCAGACGGTGAATATCTGAATCCTGGACTTTCACAAGAAAATTTGGGGCGGGCGGGGGAGGGAGGAAGGAAATACCTTGTTTAAGACCTATATTAGATCTGGATGGTGTGGGGGGGAGGTAATTGGTCCATGCCTCTGTCCCACAGAATAGAGAAAGAAGTAATTTGCTATCCTTCCTGAATCCCATCGAAGTCAATAAGGAAATAAAGGGGGGAGGGGTGCTGGGTGCAGCTCTGTGGTGAGGACCATGCCTAGCATGCACGAGGGCCTAGGTTCAATCCCCAGCGCCAAAAAGAAGAAAATAAAGGGTTAAACCCACAAGCCCAGCATCCCGCTCCACCCAGACCTGCTGGTAAAAGATACTGCACGGCCTCAGAATGCTAGAGGCTGCGTGCGCAAAACCAGTTTTCGCTCAGTAGTTCCAGCATTTGGAGCCCTCTGTGTCCTGCCACTCCCTTCAGCTGCCCTCTGCAGAATGCAAGGAGGGGGTGGGTGGGGATCTCTGCCCTGCTCACTGGCCTCCTAAGATCAGAAATGGGCTGTATCCTGGAAACTTGCTTGGAAATCTCAGAAATGGGTTAACTTGGGAATCCATCCTGGAAGCAGGAAACTGTTCTGGGGTCCCAGGAGACTTAGATAGCCCCTCAGGGCCAAGGATATAGGTTGGGGTATAGGTCTAAGGAAAAGCCACAGCGGTGTGTCAAACTACTGAAAGCCACACGGTTTAGCTACCATGGGCATTTACCGAGGAAAAGTTAGCTAGCGACCCCAGATGGTAGTGACTGGAATTGCAGTCAAAAAAGGCTTGCTAGAGTATTTGACTTCCAACGTCAAGCCAGATCTTCCTTATTGAAATCAGTAAAAGAGGGCCTCTTGCCGCTGTAAAGGCTCTAAAGGCTACTCTCCACTCTCACCTGCCCCCCTCTTGTCAGGGAATCATTTAGCTATTTCCATTTGTTGGGAAAGAGAAGGATCTTGAATCTTTTCAATCTATTAATTCTCCATCAGGTAACTATTACCCCCATAGCAATCCACCCTACACCTACACCTCCTATTCCACTCACATGACAAGGTGAGATTCCAGTTCTAGTCCGCATGGGAGGTGGAACCCCACTCATCCCACTCATTCTCACAGACTGCCCCCCCCATTAGTCAGTCCACAAATCTCTCTCTAATAAGAGCCCAGAAGACTTCCAGCCCCTCCCTCTGTTTCGGACCTTAACAATTGATCAGTTGTTTGGCTCCCACAACAGCCCTGTGAAGTTACAGGGGGAGAGAAACATTTCTTGAAGAAGAGGATGCTCCTGTTTGTTCCAGACAAGATGCCAGGTTCTGTGATTCTGAGCTAGATAAGGGATCTGACCTGTGGTGTATCAGGGAAGAGGAGGAGAGTGTCACATGGAACCCAGAGCACTGTCTAGTGTTGTAGTTGAATGTCATAACACAGATACCATAAGGTGCAGGGTTCTAATCTGCCCCAAAGCAGTGGGGTGCTACGGATGGGAAATGGAGTACCTGGGAAGGGGAAGGGTCTACAGTGATCCCACCACAGGAGAGGAATGAGTCCCCCCCCAGATATGTATTAGCTTTCTCTCCTGCCTCAGTCCCAGAGGGCACAAGGGTGCAGGCAGTGTCTCTGCTTCCCCTAAATTCAAGGTGTTTCCTCTAGTGGATCAGCTTTGGGAATCAGGACACAGAGAGAAATAAAACTCTGAGCAGGCATTGTGAATCTCTGGCAGATCCCACCTTGCAAGTGATGCTACACTTCCTGTCTACACTTGCCCAGTCTAGCTACACCCACCCTTTGGGCTTCCTCGCCCCTACCCCTGCAACTTGTCAGAACCGCGTTCTGGAAACCTTTTCTATTTGCTATATTGTTCAGGAAAAAAAACAAGTTTGAAGCAAACCCTCTGTGCGAAGGTAGATGGATGGATGAATGGATAGATAAGATATATAATATGCTATAGATATATAAACATTTGCTTATAAATTATTGTACCCGAACTATTGAACTATTATGTATATTATAAACAATTCACATACACACAAAATTAAAAACCTTATTTTAAAACTATAATGGAAATTCCAATATTTTCTTCCCATATCCCAAATTACCCATAGGCACCCCCACTTAGAAAACTGTTCTAAAGGAAACACGGTGTCCTCGCCAACCTCAGCCTCAGCATAGCATCCAGTCAGGTGGCACCCCCGTCCAGGACCAAACCGAGGGCCTCTGGAGGACCAAGAGTCCTGGCCTCTTTTTTCCTTCACAACTGAAAAACAAATCCGAAGCCATTGCACCAGGCCCTGCCAGCCACACACCAACTTGCTCTGCACTTACTTCAGATGACCTGTAAGGGGAAAGAAACCTAAAACCTCTCTCTAAAGCAGCCTCCATAAGCTCACCCCACTCCACCCCAGGCTTGACACTCCCACTTCTCCCTGCCCCCTGTTTTTACTCTTTCTGTCACTCCATCAGTGTGGGAAGTTCTGGAGCTAGACAATTCTGTGTTGAAATCCTGGCCTGATCACTTATTGTGTGCATCCCAGGCCACTTATATAACCTGGCCGAGCCTCAGTTTCCTCATCTGTGTAATTCAGATGAGAGCTTTCATGACCAACAGCTGCAGAGTGGCTGCCACAGTGCCAGACACACAGAAACTGTTCCATAAATGGAGTTCCCTTTTGATATTACAGCTAGGTAGCCTCTAGTTGAGTGCCAGCTGGGCAGTGGGCAACTTGTCCCTGTCTCTGGGCATCTGATGAGTCCTGACTGACCTCAGGTCCTCCTGGGGCAGACAGGACCCACCCCAGGACTTGTGTCTGTACAAATAACATGTCCTCTTTCTGCTGTCCACACACCCTCTAGTGACACCTTTGCCAGCCCCATCCATGCCACACACGTCTCTTCTTCCTCCACAGGAGGTAGCCATCATGTGAGGAGGCCAGGAGTAGGTAACCCAGAGCCAAAGCGGGGAAGAACTTGTAAAAGGCACAGAGACCTGGACCACAGAGGAGCCCTGCTACCCACCCCAATAACCCAGTGTCCGCTACTGAAGACCTACACAAGTCAACCATGCCTGGCATACCCTGTAGCCCTTGGCCAGGGCAAGGAAGGGGGAGGGAGGCTCTGGATAGCAGGAGTGGGGAAGGAACTGAACTGAAGTAGCAAGGAGACCCAAGTTAGACTTGGGGACTGTGTGAGGCGCTTGAGGTGCTATTTGGAGACAGAAAAAAAGGACGGGTGTGTCCCCACTTTACCCGGTGACTAGAGGAGAGCTGTGTGTGTGTGTGTGTGTGTGTGTTGCCTCCCTCCTCATTTTCCATGTAGCACTTCCAGAATGTGCTGGGCTGAGACAGAAGGGAGAGGGCCAGGGAGGGGCTGAGGGGGACATGGATAACCTAGCTGGGCTTTCCTTGCGGTCAAATGGGCAGAATAACATCGACCCCACAGGTGCTGGGAAGACTGCATGGGATGACCCCTGGAAATGCTTTGTGAGCCACTCCTGGCCAGATCCTGACCCAGGAAATGGGAGGCCCCAGTCCCAGAGCCCATGTTGGTCACACACAATGCTTTGTCCCCAGCCCTGCTTGACACCAACTGCTCAGCTCCACTCCCTCGCCCTTGTTGAGGTTTAGTCACCCTGTGTCACCCTGGGCACCTCTCTCTCAGAGGTGCCTGAAGGCAGAGTGGGACCCCTCCTGCCCCTCTGCCATGGGAGCACCAAGCCCTCTGTCTCCTCTTCCAGCTGCCTACCCTGAGGTGCTGGTGTGGGGAACAGATGGGGGTTGGAGAGGGAGAAATCCCACCTTCTACCCCCCACTGTCTTTTCCCAGGCCAAAGCCATTAAGGGAGTGACTGTCATCCCAAGTACAGAGTGTGGAAACCCCAGCTATTACTGGAAACAGACCCACAGTATGCAGGACCTGGATGCAGGCCTCAGTTGAACAACCAGAGCAAAGAGAGGTCAAGTCATGTGTCAAGACATCACGCCAGTAAGGGTAGAGCTAGGGTTTGACCCCAGGTCATCTGACTGCAGGCTCTACTCTAGATGCTGCATGGGTTCCCAGTACTGTTCTTAGTACATGAAGACGCTGAAGTTGGGAGGAGTTAGGTGACCTGCCCAGGATTACACAGCAAGCAAATTGTGGGGGGCAGGCTTACTAAAGTAAGTATGATTAGTGAAGAAGGTTGCTTACTTTCCCATCAATTATTCTTCAATTTATAAAACTATGCTAATTCCCAGAAGCAGCTAAATTTAGCCTTTGAATTTGACTTAAGACTATAAGCCAGGTGTTGTAGCTCATACCTATAATCCCAGCACTCAGGAGGCAGAGGCAGGAGGATCCAAAATTCTAGGTCAACCTGGGCTACATAGTGAAACCCTGTCTCAAAAAAAAACCTAAAAAAAAAGACTACAGCTATGACATAGATAATAAAATATAGATAGTACATAGATAATATGGATATATAAACGAATACAGGCATAATTATCAGTATTTAAAAGATAAATTTCTAGAAATGATTTGCAAGCTTTCTCACTAATGCTTA